TGATTTTTGTATAAAGGAACGGAAACCTGGTCGTTTACTAATGAAGGGCCGAAAGAAGGGTGACTTTTATACCATATCTAGTCAACCCGAGGCGTATTTTTCCTATCGTTTTCGGTCTGGTAGTGCGGATTTTTGGCATCAACGTCTAGGGCATCCACAATTTTCAGCTGTTTCAAGATTAAGAAATAAAGGCCTTATTCAAGTTACTAGTTCAATACAAAAAGACCACATTTGTGATAGTTGTCAGTAAGGGAAAATTAGTAAATTTCCATTTGAACTTTCTTTACATAAATCAACGTCTACTTTTGACAAGATTCATTGTGATTTATGGGGTCCTGTAGTTTCAATTGGTGAATTTTGGTATTATGCTTGTTGATGATTTTTCGAAATATACATGGTTTATTCCTTTAAAGCAAAAATCTGATTTCCCTTCTGCATATTTAGCATTTAAACAATATGTTGCTAAACAGTTTAATAAAAAAATTAAAAATTTTCACTCCGATGGCGGTGGTGAGTTTGTTAACTCACAACTTTCTTCACATTTTCTCTCCACAGGGACTATCCATCAGATTTCATGTCTTTATACACCCGAACAAACTAGAGCAGTTGAACGTCGTCATCGAATTATTCGTGAACTCGGGATGACTATGATGTTTCACAGTCACTCGCCACTGTTTTTATGGGTGGAAGCTTTTGCAACGGCGGTGTTTTTAATCAATCGTTTACCATCTTCATCTATTGAGTTTTCTACTCCATACTTTATGCTTTATAATTCACATCCTGATTATTCAATGTTGCGTGTTTTTGGCTCCAAATGTTTCCCACATACTTGGGATACTCGAAATCACAAGTTTGATCCTAAGTCTGCTTGTGTATTTTTGCAGGATACAGTGAAAAATACAAAGGTTACAAGTGTTTTGATCCTATCTTCTTGCAAATTTATTATTTCTCGAAATGTCGTTTTTGATGAAACTTCTTTTCCATGTAAGCGCAGCCCTCCAAACCCTAACATGTCTCACGTCCACCATATCTTTGAGTCCTGGTTGCCTCCAATCTCTCCTCCTTCAGTCTCTCCTGATCAGCCTTTATCATCCTCATCCAGTCCCGCATCCATTCCCCTTCCGTCAGTCATCACCCCATCGACTGAACCTCTGCGGTTTACCCTTTCTGTTGACCCGCCTTTCGAAAACTCTAACCCTAACCCCATGCCGCCTTCACCTTCTTCACCTGGGTCCTCCTCTGATCCCACCTTTGACACTACCTCTTCTCTTGATTTATCCACCTCTGATCCATCTCCTTCATCTGACACCACTTCCAGTATTCAATCTATAATTCAGGAATCTACATCGCATCCACCATCTCACTCGATGACAACTCGTTCTCGTCTCGGCATCACTAAACCCAACCCCAAATACACCTTAACAGTCACAATCTCCCCAACCATTCCTTCTGAACCCAAAACCGTCAAATCAGCTCTTAAACATTCAGGTTGGAAAGCTGCCATGGTTGAGGAACTCTCCGCTCTTCATCAAAATCAGACCTGGACGTTGGTCCCTCGACAGTCAACTATGAATGTTATAGGCTCTAAGTGGGTCTTCAAGACAAAGCTTAAACCTGATGGCTCCTTAGATCACCTTAAGGCTCGCCTTGTCGTGAAGGGATTCCATCAAATCGACGGTCTTGACTACACTGAAACATTCTCGCCAGTGATCAAACCAGGTACCATCGACTGGTGCTTAGTGTTGCACTTGCTAATCAGTGGTCAATTAAACAACTTGATGTGAAAAGCATTTCTCCATGGATTTATTGATGAGAATCTCTATATGGAGCAACCTCCAGGTATGGCTGACCCTACTTATCCTTTTCATGTCTGTAAGCTTCAACGAGCTCTCTACGGTCTTAAACAAGCTCTGAGAATGTGGTTCGATTGTCTCAGTCGCTTTCTCATTTGTTATGGTTTTTTTTGCAGCCTTGCAGACCCGTCCCTTTTTATTTTTCATTCAGACAGCCACACTCTTGTTTAATTAATTTATGTAGACGACATATTACTTACTGGTTCCTCTCCTTCTCTTCTTTCCAATTTCTTAGGCATTCTAAATCGTGAATTTTCTATGAAGGACCTTGGCATGATTAATTATTTTCTTGGTATCGAGGTCTCATCTATCTCTACTGGTTTACATATGTCTCAAACACATTAGGGCCAGTATCGAGGTCTCATCTATCTCTACTGGTTTACATATGTCTCAAACACATTATGCCTATTCCATTCTTGACAGGGCCAATATGCTTCATTGCAAGCCCATGCCAACACCACTTGAATCGCGGATCACCATTCCTGATGCGCCAGTTCTTGCCGACCCTACTTGGTTTCAAAGCATCGTCGGTGCTCTATAATATTTAACCCTCACCCGGCCTGACCTCACTTATAGTGCTAACTTTGTCTCTAAATTTGTGAATTCTCCTACTGATGCTCATTTAAAACTCATTCATCGTATTCTCAGGTATGTTAAAGGGACCATTCATCTTGGCCTTAATCTCACAGCAAATTCCAATCTTCAACTTTATGCATTTTCAGATGCTGATTGGGCTGGATGTACGACCACTAGACGCTCCACCACTGGTTATTGCACCTTTCTTGGTACTAACTTAATTTCCGGGTGTGCAAAAAAACAACATTCTGTCTCCCGATCCAGTACCGAGCCGAGTACAGAGCCATGGCTAATACTGCTGCGGAACTAACTTGGCGTACGTACATCTTGAAGGACCTTCGCATCTCGTTGTCCAAGCCTTCTATCCTTCACTGTAACAACCTCAGCGCTCTTTACATGATAGTCAATCCCGTTTTTCATGCTCGGAGCAAGCACATCGAACTGGATTATCACTTTGTACGAGAGAGAGTTGCCCTTGGCTTCCTTGCTACAAAGCATGTTTCATCTTCTCAGCAGGTTGCTGATATTTTCACAAAGCCTGCTTTACGGACTTCCCTCCCTTTCTTTCTGTCCAAACTGTGCCTTGCTCCCCGGCTCAGTTTGAGGGGGAATATTAACGATAAAGACTCACAGCCAGACTTGCAAATAGAGTCCAAGTCCAAGATAACGAGTATGAGAAGAGATAAGGAGATCAGCCAGACTTGCAAATAGAGTCCAAGTCCAAGATAACGAGTATGAGAAGAGATAAGGAGATTTGGAGTGATAAGGGTGCACATACTCAGCCTCATTGAGGTTTAACATGTTTTGTAACAAGTCGTTAAAACACGATTCACTTTTGTAACTCTGAAAAACTCACCTCAATGCCAACAGAATAAGCAGCGATCCACAAAGTAAGGAGGCAGTACTCAGAGATTAAGGTTGTGGAGCTGTATGCATTATTTTCATTACTTGATCATCGAGTCTATTTATATCAAGCTTTTCAGTTGTTGCATTAATCTTATTCCTTCATAAGATCTGTTCATAGTCTATAAATACAGACCATCTATTTTATAATTAAGGGTGGTGAATTTCAGTGAAAGAAGTATAATCCAGCTTTTATATCTTTAACTCTTTTCATCATCAAGCCCGCAATTTAGGGTTCTTCAATTCAGTCTTTCTTAGACTTTTCGCTTCGCCGGAGTTTCTCCCTTGTGATTGCGTCGGGTTCAGTTCAATAATGCACAAAAATCAACAGTAAAGAAATGCGAATTTGTCGTGGCAGCGGCACTTGAGGAGGGGGGCTGGTTTAGAAACAGTGGGAGGTGGTGGCGGGTGGTGGCCGTGAAGGTATTTGTATTTTGTAGTCTCGCTACATATAGTTTTGTCTTCCTAAGCACCCCCGAAGAAAATAGACAAGCCCCTTTGAAAAGCTAGATTCCAATTATAAGCCATCATATTTAATTTAATAATTTAAAAAGATGAATGGATATAAAAAACGGCTGATTTGTTTATGGAGGTCGGCGGCGGGGAAGAATTCGCAGGGAGAGAGAATATGCTAGAGGTAGAAGATGAATAAGACTTTTTTGAATTACTAATTTAGCCCATAAAAAGTACAATTATTTAGTGTGGGTTGAGGTTAATTGTGGATTTCTTGTGCATTTTTTGCAATAGGGCCGCCAAATTTGATTGGAAACATATGTAATGCTCGAACTTTCCTGTAGGTATTTTTGTTACTAAATTACCAATTTCGTTGGCATTTTTTTTTTTTTTTTGGGTAATGACAACAAGTAGATTATATATTAGGAAGAGTAAATCATGAGTTTAGATAATTGGAACCACATAAGGTTTACTATTTCTTTGAAAACATAACGAAAAAAATGATTTTTTTAATATGTGCTTTTTAATAATTACTAGGTTACTTTTTGTCTCGCGTTGCGCGACTAGTTTTTATAAATTATATAAAAGAAATAGTAATATAAAAATGCGACAAAGAAGTAATACGAAAATAATTTAGTTATAAAGTAAAATATTTTAAGAATATAGTAACAATATAAAAATACAACAAATGAGAGTATTGTAGGGATTTTGTGTGATAATTTGTTACTATTCAACAACAACTAAGATTTGGAACACAATTTATCATATCTGTGAATGCACTGAACTATCTTATATCTCAAGTGAGAAATTTCCATTATGTAAAATGCAATTTTCTGATGCCAGAGATGATCCCATGGTGGACACAAGAAACTCAGAGGGTGCAAGCTCTTTTTATTCAATTTCTTTGATTACCATTTCCTTGTAATCTATTTAAATAAAGAAATTAAATATTATTTTCAATATTTAATTTCTTTATTTAAGTAGATTACAAATACACAGACAACAAGTGAACAACTTAGTGAAACCATCAAATGACATAAGATGCATATAAGCACCTTTCTGCTTTTTGCAACTTGTGGAAACTCATGCCATGGTGAGCACCCCAGTAAACATTCAAAAGACCAACAGGACCTACACGCTGATGTTGTGTTAATTCAGAGCAATGGATGTCTCAACACTGAAAAAGAAAAATTTACAAAAGCACAAAAGAAATTGCTAGACTTCATAGCCAGGATTAACTTTCTGTTGAACATCCCCGTAACTATCCGATTCATCAATATCCTCTGGACTCCCCAAAAACAAAGAAAGTCGTTGATGCAACTTGACTGGCTGAAGAGATAGAATCCTGCTCTTACCATCAGAACCACTACCCCCGGCCTGCTCCACTATAAAACTTAATGGATTTGCTTCATAAACAAGACGCAGATGATCTCTCGGATTCATAGCCACGGCTCCCATACAAGAGAGTGCAATGAAAATCAGCAACAAGAGAACATATATTACGGGTTGAATACTTTTTTGGATATTTACCCACCCTTGCCTTGTCTCACAGTGTCAATGTAACGCCTTAAACCTTCAGGCCAATCGAAATACCTTGCATCATTCACAGAATATATTTGGCCGGCCATGGGAGAGTGAAACACGAAAACTGATGACGATCGTGTAAAATAGAAGAACTCAGTAAATTTTGCCATTTTATCGCGATTGTATGAAAATAGAGCTCAAAGCCAAAATAGTTACCTCTAGGTGGAATTTTGACATTCGAATGTGTAAGAAAGAATTCTCCAGTTGATTGGTCCAGGGTGAATGCGTGTGTTCCTGAGCCAAAGCTGATACAGAGAATAGTGGCTGATGAGTAGAGAACATAACCAGCAGCAACAAGCTTTGCTCCACTCTGCAGGGAATTAAGCATAGCTTTTTCCTCCACTGGTAGATGATCGGTCTCCACGAGTCGTTTGTAGATCCCAAAGATTGTTCCGGTAGGAATGGAGGCATCAATGTTGCTGGAAACATCTAGAGGATCCGTGACCACCACATAGGGCCGGGCCATCATCACTTATCCAAACTGGCAAATCATCTTCTTCAGAGGCCATAACCGCAATTTTATCAGAATTGCACAAAAAAGACAAGATAATCTCATCACAAATTGAACCAGTTTACCGCATAAACTCACAGTTAAACGAACAGAACACCAACAGGCCACAGTTACTAAAAAAAAAAAAAAAAACAGACTCGCTCCCAGCTAAAAAGGCAGGAAAAAATTAAAAATTTCTGAAAAAATAAATAGTGGATAATTTTCATCAACCATGTTTGTTCCCAGTTGATTACTTTAGTTTTGTTGGCCATCAATCAGCACGAGAAAACAGAACCAGAATTAATGGCACAAAACCAGGATTTATCTCTTGCCTAAAAGTATTCAAGTTGGACAAAGCAGAGGCGATTAGTATCAAAAGAATTAAAAAAAGAGGCTACCACACTTTAAGCTATTTTTGCAGTAACAAAACTCTACCTCAATGGGAAAAAAAATTATCCTGTCCCAACGAAAGGCCGTAGGCAAAATACTTTGGAACAAAAGAGAATTTCGTATTGATTTTTTAAAGGAAAAAACACCAGCAACTATTGGAACAAAAGGGGAAAAAAATCGACATGAAATTGATTAGGGGCAAAACCAGTAACCAAATATAATTGTACTTGAATTTTGCGGAGAAGGAAGTACACACCTTGAATTGGCGAGGGGAAAGAACCGTTGATGAATCCACCATTATCATTCTCAGTTCTCACTGCAATTAAAAACAAGTGTACTCTATCAAAGAGGAACTACTTATTTAATTATTCTAATAATAAGCATTGAAAGATTGACCTGGAGAATAGAGGCAGAAGGGATAAGAGGCGGCGGATGGCGAGGATCCATCGCCACCACCACCAGCGACTGTCGAAGCTGCCTTGTACAGCCTCTAATGGCACCGCCAACAACCCAACCACACCAGCACCACCACCGAAACCTCTCCAACACCACCGCTAAAACCTCCACCAGCGTCATGCCCAACTGCCCCTTCCAAATCTGAACCACCATCGCATTCAAATCCTCTATTTGTACCGCCTACTTAGAATAATAGAATTGTATTTCCATATGTTATTACAATATACAAGGATATATATAGACAATAATAAACCCTATACAAATGATTACTACCGTAAATATGATTATTACAATATGCCCCCACAAAACTGACGCCAGATAAGAGAGAAGCCAAAATTTGTCTCAAAAACGAAGGAATAAATTCTTGGATAAAGGTTTGGTCAGAACGTCAACAACTACCGTAAATATGATTATTACAATATGCCCCCACAAACTGACGGCAGATAAGAGAGAAGCCGAAGTTTGTCTTGAAAACGAAGGAATAAATTCTTGGATAAAGGTTTGGTCAGAACGTCAACAATCTGATCAGGAGCAGACACAGAGCGGACCGAAACAAAATTCCTTCGAACATGATCACGAACAAAGTGAAAATCCACCTCAACATGTCTGGTACGGGCATGAAACACCGGATTAGCAGCAAGAAAAACAGCACTACTGTTGTCACACCAAACAGAGGGAGAATGACGCAACGAAACGCTCAATTCAGACAACAGATGACAGACCCAATGTAGCTCAACACAGACATTAGCAATCGCATGAAACTCAGCTTCAGTAGATGAGCGAGCCACAGTGGGTTGCTTCCGAGATGCCCAGGCAAGGAGATTAGGGCCCAAATACAGGAGAAATTCTGTAGTGGAACGACGATCATCTGGACAACTAGCCCAATCAGAATCACTAAAAGCAGTAAGAGTGCCCAAATTCGTAGGATGAATAACCAAACAAAAATCAATGGTTCCACGAAGATAGCGAAGGACCCGTTTGAGAGCCTGAAAATGAGAGGTGTAGGGCTGATGCATAAACTGACAAAGCTTATTAACCGTAAAACAGATATCCAGCCGGGGAAGTGCGATGAGAGAGAAGCAAACCCGGGGAAGTGCGATGAACCTCAACACCAAGGAAATAACTCAAGGGACCCAAATCTCGAAGTGAAAACTCTTGAGCAAGACAAGAGATAAAATGTTGAACCAGACCAGATGTGCTGCCCGTAATAATAATGTCATCCACATATACTAGCAGAAAACACAACTGAGACCCACGGTGGTATACAAATAGGGAAGGATCACAACGCGACTCCACAAATCCCAAGGTGACCAGAAACGCAGCCAATCGAGAATACCAGGCCTGAGGAGCTTGCTTAAGCCCATATAGCGACTTATGCAGCTTACACACATAATGCGGGCGCAGGGGATCAACAAAACCCTGAGGTTGAACTATATAGACAGTTTCACTCAGAACACCATTAAGAAAGGCATTACTGACATCAAGCTGAAAGATCGACCATCCACGAGCCAAGGCAACTGTCAACACTGAGCGAATAGTGACCGGCTTAACAACCGAACTAAAAGTGTCAGTGTAAGCAACCCCAAAAGACTGAGTGAATCCTTGAGCCACCAACCGAGCTTTATAGCACTCGACAGAACCATCAGCATGGGTCTTAATCTTATAAAGCCATCGATTGCCAACAACAATGCCGGAGGAAGGAGGGAGAACTAAGGTCCATGTGTTATTTTTGAGAAGGGCAGACATTTCATCCTTCATGGCATTTTGCCACTTAGGAGTAGACTTGGCTTGAGTAAAAGATGTGGAGCAACAGGCGGAAGGGGGAAAACTGAGGCAAGATGAGCCGAGGGATCAAAGATCTTCTTGGGCTTGGGGTTAGGACGGAGTGCCATTAAATGAGGACACAAAGGAGGAGGAGGAGGAGGTGGTGGAGGGGAACTGGACTCAGATGATGGGGAGCTGGATGCAGGAGAATTAGGCAAAGATGCTGGCGAAGTTGAAGGACCGGGGGATCTTGGTAAAGAGGCCATAGGAATAATAGGAATAATAGGAGGAGCAGCAGTGGGTGCAGGATTAGAAGCATGCACACCAGGAGAACTGGTTACACACAACCAAGGAGTGGGAGGGGACTCCGGCAGCAAAGATGGAAAACATGAGATAGGACACCGGGGGAAGAAAACGAAGCATGGAAAATGTCGGCAGAGAACTTTCTGTCAAATCGACGTGCATGATGTGTAGGCATTTGGAACATCAAAACGACGTCGTTTTGATGTTCAAGGTGTAATTTCGGGTGATGTTCAGATTAATGTCGTTTTTAATGTTAAGTTTTTTTTTTGTTCTTTTTTTTTTGTAAAATATTGAGTTTATCTATTGACAATTTTATCCCTATTTAAAATTGCTGATGTCATCGGTAGGTTTTCAGGCAATCAAAATATTGATTTATCATTGAAATATAATTCAAGGTAGTTCTTTTATAAGAAAGGGATAATACTACTAAAACCAAAATAAAGCAGCTTTAGGTAAGCAAGTGTAAATTTTCTTGGAAGCAGAATCAAAACAACGGTAACCTTTATAAGACTCAGGATAACCGAGGAAGATACATGGAGTGGACCGAGGTTGGAGTTTATGAGAAGTTAAATGATATAGATTAGGAAATCAAGAACATCCAAAAACCCGCAAGACACCATAATTAGGTAGAGTACCAAAAAGAAGGGAGAAGGGAACAAAATTGTTCTTGGATTTGGTAGGTAAACGGTTTATCAAATAAACACTAGTATTTAAGGCCTCTACCCAGAATTCAGGTGGCAAGTGAGCTTGATTGAGGAGGGTGCGGACCATATTGAGGACAGTCTTATTCATGCGCTCAGCTTTGCCATTTTGTTCAGGAGTATATGGACAAGAAATGCGCATGGCAATTCCCTTGGATTTGAGAAAAGATTGAAGAAAATGAGAGTGAACATATTCAGCAGCACCGTCAGATTGAAGAGTTTTTATAGAGGTATTGAATTGAGTTTGGACAAGAGTGTAGAAGTTAATAAATTTGTGAGGTACCTCAGATTTATTTTTAAGCGGATACACCCATAAAGAATGAGTAAAATCATCAAGAAAAAGTACAAAATACTTGAAACTACTGAATGAAAGACATGGAGAAGGCATAAAAGGGAGTTATGTATGATGCTTCCCAATTTGACAAGCCTGACAAAGACTAAATTTATTTGAGGAAACCACCGAACCAGGAAGGCAGCGATGTGACACTAATCTAGATAAAACAGAAGAATTGGGGTGACCAAGGCATTGATGCCAGACATGAGAAGAGACGGAAGCAGCGAACGCCGGACATGATGAAGAAGACGGTGTGCGAGATTGATCCAAAAGAGTGGATGGGAAAGTGTAAAGGGAACCAACACTATTGCAACGTAGACGAGGGTTCCTCGTCCAAAGATCCTTCACAGAAAAACTAAAGGGATCAAACTCAATAGAACATTGATTTTCAGTTGCAAATTGACATTCAGAAACAAGATTTTTGGTAAGTGAAGGGACATAATAAACCCTAGGAAAGCGAAATTGAGAACAAGGAAGTGTACCAACAGATTTAATAGGTAAATTTGAACCATTACCAATCACAACTCGAGTAGAACCAAGATAGGGTTTGGAATTAGTAAGAGTACCTTGATTGGGAGTTATAGTATTACCACAAGCCGTGTCCATATACCAAGAAGAATCAACAGACGGAGGGACAAAAAGCTGATTATGTTGATCAACAAAATAACCGGGCTGTTGGAATTAATAGCAATCCCGGGTAGAATGATTAAATTGGTGGCACAATTGACATCGAACAGGATCCGAATTGGACGAGGAAGAAGGAGGCGGTCGAAGAAGAGAGGAGCGCGTTGCCTGGGAGTAAACATGGGACCGGATAAGAAGAATAAAAGTGATAAAACGGAGAAGAGGACTGACCAAAATATTGATTGCGACCACGCCCGTGGCCTCAGCCTCGGCCTCTTGAATTTTGGAAGCCGCGACCCCTTCCACCGCCACGACTGGATGAAACAGGAGAAGGAGAAGTGGACGTCGGCTGCTGAGAAGAACCAGGTGAAGCAGTCGCCACCAAGGCCGTGGTTGCAGCGGGAGAA